TTGTAAAACTGCACATCAGAGTCATGCATCAAAAAGAAGACAGTGCCACACAGCAAACACAAACACAGCACATAAAAATAAAAAGCAAATCACACACATTTGCATGCTTGCACAGCAGATAGCAAACCCTTTTCTTGCTGAGTAGATTCTTTCTCAGAGAAATAGATGAAGAATAGTCACTGGCCTCCAAATCCTATAATCATCCAATAACATAATGATATTGACACAATTACAGAAAGCAAAAAACTGTGCATTTTTAAAGAATTTCCGCCCTCCCTCCCCTTTCCCAATCTCCCAGCTCATGGAATGCAAACAAATAATGCAAAATAAACAAGTTTCTGGGGAAAGAAATTAAACTAACATGACAATTTCTAATTAGTGTGCTAAGGTAAATTACAAAACATAAATTCCCCCACATAAGAATATGACTTATTTTAGTTTATTACTTAAAATATATTTAAAAAGATCATATAAGAGCATTAATTTTAGGATTTAAAACTTATTAAGTTTGAAAATAAATCATATATTTCTAGTCTTAATTTAAATAATAAAAATGAAGCATATCAAAATATTCAGCATTATTTTTTAAAAGGTAGTTGAAGTATTAATCTTCAAAAAACTATTACCTTTACTGTTAGGAAGAATAATAATTAATACAGTTTAAGAACTTTTACATCTCTGCCAAACTAAAATCAAAGAATGCTTTCACACCTAGAGCCTTCTAAACACTTTTTTTCTTTAGTCTACAATTATAACAGCCCTTATAATACACTGATATACACATTTTTATGTCCATAAAGTTTCTATGCAAATTGGTTCAAATTGTATCTTAACATAAAATTCATCATCCATGCTTCAGATTATATGCCATATTTGTTTACTGTCTAGATGTCGTTAATAGATAATTGAAGAAGAAAATGATATCATTTATAACCCAAATACTGTTTATCTTTCTTTCAAACTTTAAATACATTTTCTTGTTATTTACTAGACATAAATGTGAGACATCATGTTTCAAAGCATACTGTAAATTCCCCATGTCCTTATGGCCTCAAGGATATTACCTTTGGTTGGTATCTCTGGATAATTTGCAATTTGTTTAAGCTATCACCAAATGTCATAGATTCAGTTCATTTTCATATTTTTTACTCTTATAAAAAATGTTTCAGTGGACATTCTGATGCCTATTTCTACGTATTTCCTTTGGATAAACTTTTAGAAGTAGAAAAACTTAGTTTTTGAACACTTCTGAAGTCTCTGATACATGATGTCAAATTGCCCTTCAGAAGAGACATACCAATTTCCAATTTTCTTCAATAATATATAGAATATCCCATTTTCCTACATTATCAACACTAAACATACAGTTGTCTTCATCTTTGCTAATTTTCATAGTTTTAATTACACTTACATATTACTAATGTGTCTAGCACTTTTTTATCTTTATTGGATTTTTATAAGTATTTTATGAATAGGCTGTTTATGACCATTGTCCATTTTTCTATGTTGGCTCATTTTGGAAATACTTCAGTACAGTAGTGGACTTATGATCTAAGAACTGACACTTCACGGAGGAAAAATTATCAAGAATGCCATAGAAAATAAATTGCAGGATATACTCTGTACGTGTTTGTGTCACGTGGCATAGAACGTTATCTGCCAAGAATCAAAAAGACAAGAAGCATGAGAGAAGCATACGCAATAAGTTGCTGTCCATACTCCCCAGCTCGCCCCTGGCATGCCTTCCCCACCCACTGAGATCTCTTGTCATTAGCTGTTGTGGAAATAGAACAAATCGAGTGAGTTGTGAATCAAGATCCTCTCACAAATAATCATACAAAAAAGCACTGCGACCAAGGGTAGCATATCAGTTGCCACAAAGATAAGAATGCTTTATGCAGGCAGAGACCTTTGAACAGCTGAAGACAGAAGGCTCTTGATACACACTCAGCACAGTGATCTACTTTATCATTCACTCAAACAGATTTTCCCCTTCATCAGGGCATCTTTTCATTTTATTTGCTATTCAAAACACTAGGACACAAAGGATGCTCTTCATCTTGTGTGCCACTGAAATGAAATCTTGAGGTAGAAAAAAGGGGGGAAAAAAAAACCTTGTCCTAAATTCCCTTTCAAAAGTGAGGTGTGAAAAGACATCAAGCCGAGTACACAGTATTATTGTTACAAGAAAGTCAATTCTGCAGGCACAGAATCCAAGGCCATCAGCAGCGGCTCAATCACTTCCTCACTTCCAGTGAATAATAAGAAAAATCCAAGGAGAAAGGGTTCCAGCAGGGAAATGGAATTTCTCATTGTCCTTCCTCCTGCTTTTCATTAACATCTATGGGCACAGCTGTTTCTTTTTTTCTGAATAATCCTAAAGTCAATGCTGTAATATCAGCTCCCTTCCTCCAGCTCCCAGGGCCTATTATACATCACCTCATGTCCTGTTCTGAGAAGCAGAAATTTCAAATTTATCTTTTCATTAAGCTGCAAATGAGAATGTATATTTGCTTTAATTTGGTACTTAGAAGGTTAAAAATAATATTTTCATTTTGATAGCCATGAGAACTTGGTCTTATTCTACTTTCATGGATATGTAAGTGCATAACACAGAAGATAATCAAAATCAAAGCTATTTTAACAACATACTCAATAGTTATCATATTTAAATTCTCCTGGATTTTCTTTGTAAAAAGTCAGGGGATTCTGTTAAACAGGGTGAAGAACTAGGCCATCTCAAAATTCTTCTTGATGTAATTTTAGATGCTGCAGAACACGTGTTTATATGTCACAACCATTATTCCGTACATTGCTTTGGGCTTTATTGTTACAAGATAAAATGTCTTACTTATTATCTGAATGGCACTTTAAAACACCACCAAAGCAAATAATATGCATTTAATTCTCATTAAGACCTTGGACTATGGTGACATTTACTCTAGAAAAAATTTCTTACTAGATGGACTCTTCTTTTATTCCAACTGTAAGTTTTATTGATTCAAGTAACAAAAGAGCTAATGGACAGTGAAAAAGTTGAGACAAGATCACATTTATATTCATGGTTAGTAATCTACTTGTCCTATAGTCACTGAAAAGCACTTCTTTACTGAAATCTGTTCAATGAACAAGTTAATAAACAATAAAGCAGTTTCCCCATCTGGACAATTTTTGGTAAGTGAGGGGCACTCCAGGATTTTAAACCCTGATGTTATTTTTCCATACATGAAGAGTGTACTCCTAATATTTGATTATATAGCTATATATAAATGAATTCATACTAGATCTTTCAAGTATATTTTTCACACTCCCTTTTTACAATCCTCCATTCACCAAGTTTCCTATTAACCTAAAGGTTAAAATCTATCTGTAAAGTTAATACTGGACTTAAAAAGAGGTATACATACATCTTCCACCAAAGTTGTTTTACTTTAATGCAAGGAAGTGATAAGAATAGTCAACGCCCCTTCATATAAATAACATCCAGTGAACACACTATTCAACATAGTATGCTATTATGCAGTTACTCTGGTTTATTTTTTCTTTCAGATATAAAAAGTTCTCCTAGTCTAAATTCATATATTTTTCTTCTCTGCTGTGATAATTCTCAGAAACGTGATGGCCACCAAGGTTTTAGCTGTTACCATCAATTTCCTAGGTTTAACAGGGGAATATTGCTTTGTGAGCCCAGAGGCACAGGGAAGCTGGCTGTCTGGAAGGCAATTTGTATACAGTCACACCTCAGTACTTATTGGTTTCAGAACTTGTCAAACCCTGTACTTGTCGCATTTTGATGAGAAAAAAATGTTTCATCTGAACAGACTGATGGCGGCCAGAGCAAAGGGGGGAGAGGGATCACTGTAGAAAGAAGAGGAAGGGACTAGTCAAAGGCCATGTATGAATGACCCATGGGTGTGGACTACAGTGTGGGGACTGACTGTGGCACTGGGGCAGGGGGTGGGCTGGATGGAGGATGCATTGCAAAGAGGGTAAAACTGGGACAAGTGTAATAGAATAATTACAAAAAAATTTATAAAATGTTTCATCACTCATTGCTTGTGTGCCACTCAGCGCACCTTTCTCATGATGAAACAGAGGTTGACACATCAGTCTCATGCTAGCTCAGTACCAGCCAGTTTCGGCACTCATCACAAGTTCCAGAACAAATTAACAAGTAGCAAGGCACCAGTGTACTTGTTCTTTCTGAAGGATGCTCAGCTTACTTTGATGTTAGTATTTGGCATTATGTGATGTTGTGGCTTGACTTTTTAAAGCAAAAACCAAAAGCTTCCTCCCCCTACAACATGTCCCCTTTCTTCGCTCAGTTCTATTTCATGAATAATGTCAAAATGTTGAACATTGTATGTTTTGTCCCAAAGAAACACAAAAACTCATTCTATGGTCTGGAAGTGGATTGGGAAAAATTCTATCACAAAACAAAACAAGACAAAAACCCAAAATTATCTGAGTAGGTCTGGGCACTAAGGTGTCTGTCCTTTATTTCATCATCTTTAATTACTCCAATTTCATGTTTGCTTGACTGATTTTTAACTCACTAAAATTAATTAATTAACAAACTTAAGTTGCAACAGAGTGAACATATGGGAAATGATATTTCCATGCCTTTGTACAAGTGCAAAGACAATAGTGCTCTCGCGGCTGGATCACACAGAGCTAATACCTTCCTAGTGCAGGTTAGAGCCTGGTGGTAAAATTGAATCCTATGTTTTCCAAATATCTCCCAATTTTGTATTGTATTTTCCTGATTTTACATTAGAACTAATTGTGCTATTTTGTTCCTATTCTTTACCCGCAAGATAACCAATGGTAATAAAACACAGATTTTTTTCTACCTTCAAAAACTCATTTACAACAAACTACAAACTCTTAAAAGTTAATGTGTGAAATGATATCACGCAAAAAGTTAGTTTTGATACTTGTACTGAAAAATACAACAATTTTAATATTTTATCAGTTAAAATTCTGAATAAAATACATACCCAAACCTTCTGATTCAAAGAGACATGTTTCATCAACCCCTAAATCTCGGCACCAGGATAAGAAATTTGCTGTGTTGTCTCGGGCAAAAAAGGAGCCTGAGGGTGCACTGGCTTTGCATGGAATCTTCTTCAATGGCAGAGTCTGCAAAAAAGAAAAGAAACCTCACTCTGGAGGAATTCTGGCAAAACCATTACAGTGACACATTAATATATATTTATGTTTTCAACACAATGCTTTGGGATGACCTTATGTGAACAAACAGGTTAGTGAAGAACTCTAGAAAAGGAAGTGAAATGTAAATAAAACTTAGCTGGCATTAGAGATGATAAAAATCTGTGCCTGTGAACAGACATCATAGTACCTAGTGGTAAAGAAACATAAATCCCTTCCCTGTCCCAGATGGCCTCTTTCCTTTCTCTTCCTCTAAGTAGCCTATCATTTTGAACAAAGTATTTATAAATATATTTCCCTTTTATGAAGAAAAGGAAACATAAATATGATACATGAGTATATAATATATAACACACACACACCTGCATTATTATGTGCATACATTTACACACTATAAAAATTGCATAGTAACTATAAAGTCAAAAAGAAAGCAGCAGAATGGTGTAACATCACAAGCCCCCATCACCAATACTAGAAAATAATACAAAAAATCTTTTAACAACAACATTCTACCATCTTTCTTCTAGACTATTTTCTTTTAAACCATAGGGTATTGTTATATTATATAATATAAAAATCATTCTGGTCAGATTTCTGCTATCTGACCTTGAAACATATTGTTTATATTCTGCACCATTTCTCTTCTGGGATAAGAAAATGCTTAAGATAGGGAGGGTGTGAACCTCTGCGGACTTTTCTACTAACAGTTTCTCTTAATTTTAGCCAGGAAATCTCCTTTGGCACCATACCAAGTGCCATAAAGAGTTGTGTGCGTTTTTTTAAAAAGAGACTATAACCAGTTTCCATGGCATTCCATGAAATCACACAATGCAACTCTACATGAAAGACTGAGCCACGAATATGGGTGATCTGGGCTACACAGAGCTTTGTCTCAAAGAGAAAAGATCAAGAGAGAAGTACTTTGTGATTTACATTCATGGATAGGCTGTTTCCTCTTTTCACTGTAAACCAGCAAATATAACCAAATGTTGTTGACTGTTGAGTCCATATATAAGGATGCTTATAAAAATGATACAGTGGTCCATTAGTGGACTGATGAAGTTCTGCTAACATCAAATACTACTAGGTTTCTTCATGAGCAGAGATTTTATGGCGAGACAACTAGAATACTCACTCACTAAATCATTTAGAAGTTGTAGCCATCCATCTCCCATCTCTGTGTTTGCTGACTAAATTTGATTTAGGGTCAGCATAATCGAAATTTTTGCATGAATACACAAATATCTGCAGAGATATATTTAGGTGCTATAGATATGTATATATATAAAAAGGGGGTTACCTATATAGCAATATCCCCTTAAACTTTCTGATTAAGTAATGGTCTTCAGAGAAATACTTTCTTATAGGAATTATAAAAACAACCAGAAATAGCATAGTATAATATCTCCTTTATAAAATATTCACTAACACCAATTGGTATTCATTAAAATTAAAATACATATACCCTTAAAGTTAGCAATTCACCTTCAGTACTACATTCTATAGATATTGTATTATTGTATTACTGCTTAGAAATATATGTATATTTGTTGCTACAGTGACTGAACAAGACAAATACAAGAAAACTCTATGCAACCCATTTTTAAAAGATAAATGTATATGTATTGAACCATAAAAATGTTCATTATATACTCTTAAGCAGAAACAGTAATTTGCCAACATATATATACACACACATACACACACATGCATGCATACATACATATCTCACAATTTTATTTTGTGATGTGTGTATACACATATATACTCTTATATGTATATGTGTGTACAAATACACACAATATAGATGGACATACATGAAATTAAATTGTATATAAATGAGTATTATATTTATTTATATAATTTTAGTTAGAAAAACTCAGGAAGAATATGCATCAATAGTAATATACTTGAGGAAGGTCACTGATGCATAGAGGATCATTTTCTTCTATTTTACGTAATTCAAAATACATTGTAGGATTTTGAGTGACTTTCCAATATTTTCATATTAAATTAGACAAAATAAATAATGCCAGCCAAAACATTAAAAGGTATATTTTTGAAATACACTCTCCAAAGAGGTGACTATAAAGCTTTTTTATGATGTGAATAAGGCAAAGATCATCTTTAAGAACATAAATAGATCCAAACACTGAGCCATTTTAAGATCTACCACTTCTGTCCCTGGATGGGGTAAAAAATAGCTTGTGAAGCCACTTCAAAGGGATGAATGAACTTACACACAAGAACTATAACTGAAGAACTATAAAACATTTGACACTGCTAAGGGCATGCTAGAGGACAGGAGGAGCACAATTTGTACATCACAAAGGAACACAATGTCCATACTGCATGAAAGAAGTTACAGATTGATCTGACACTTAATCCACCACGAGACACATTTTGAGAAAATACCCACAAGCAACAAGCCCACCCCCCACATTGTTCGGCTAACTCTTTAAGAATTTACAAGGATAAGCACTGAGTATATAAATAAAACTAGCAATTTTTTCCTACATACAAGCCTGTGGTCCTTACAAAGTCATCTACATATCGTATACCAGAATGTAAGTATTTATTTAAAATTCATTCATATTGAAAGACATGGAAGTTATTTTGGGACAAATAAAATGAAAGCTGGCTATTGATACTTCATAATCTGGAAATTCTCAGTGCAGAGAAACACATCAGCAACACTAATCTAACGATTTAGCATTTAAATGATTTATGGAGTATTTGCTTCTGTCCTGGAGCAGTTAGATTTAGTGCTTCCATCAGCTAAAGAGTAGAAACTATAAACAGTGTGAAAGGAAGCTTCCAATCATCATCCAGATGAAGTATTTTACTTGGTAAAATTTTCTAAAAGTCAGTTGCATTAGTTCAAATGACTAATGAACCCTTACCCACAGCGCCTGTAAAGGCCGTCACATACAACCAGGAGGAGAATCTCTGCTCATTGGCTGAGAGCAGCAGCACATAGTTTATAGGATTCAGCATTCTCCCTGGCTACACACCAACCAAAAGGCAAATGTGAGGGTCTCCCCAGATTGACGTGCCATTTATAACTGAGAGTCTTAGGGCAGAAGTTTGATTTCACTTGAATTAAATTCAATAATCCCTGCACTCAGTGCCTTTGGAACTTAAAAATATTTTGACACATTTGATACAAAAATATTTATGAAGTTCCGAAAATCTTCACAATTATACCTCTTCCAGTTCTATGACTTTTTTAAATTGTTAATTTCCTTTGGTTCTCATGAAAATCCTGAAGGAAGCCAGTTCTGAATCTTCTTTCATATTAATAAATAGAATAAAAACAAACTGAAATAATGAATAAAATCAACTTTTACCTTGCCAAGGAAATCTTGAAGAAGAGATTTAGAATAGAGAAGTGCCTGCCTTGAGTAATTATGGAAGTATATACTTGAGTAGCTGAAAACTGATCACAGATACAGAAAGGAACCCTTCAGATCCAAAGAAGTGGGGATTCAACAGAGAAGCTCCACACATAGCTCATCTGATATACCTTCCATAGTGATTCTCCTTTACTGCTCAGTTCTCCAAAGAACTCCTACAGCATTTAATTACATACCATCTTTAAATACTTACTGTATTGGTTTTTACAGACAAGGCTGTTATATACCATGTCCTCCAAACCTGACTGATGAGTGCATGAATGGATGGTTAGACTGGACCCTTCAAACCAGACCTTTATCTGCACGATAGCAGAAACAAAGACTGTGTTAGGCTTTTTAACCTTTTCAAGGGGTGTATTTCTAGTGCCTTCAAAATTCATTAAATTCATAGTATAATTATACATAAAATGCTTCCCATAAATTAAGAAATACTCAACTGGAAAATGTCAGTAACACCTTCCAACTGTTTTTGAAAGTTACTGAATACAGGATGATGAGCAGGGAACAACGGCCAAGCTGAACTGAGACTGGATAGAGCATGAGGCTCACTCACACACTAGCAAGGGTCATGCCACTGTACTCCAGCCTCCATGGCATGGAATTCAATATTTATGATAGCAAGTGAGAAATAACTGCTAGTAAACCATTGGGGTCATGTGCAAGTAGTCAATTAACTCTTCTAAAACCACGAGTCTGAAGTTTATCCTTTCATGTCTCAACAGGAATATTTACAGATTGGATGAATAACATACAAGAGAATGGTTTGAATTCCAAAAATGTCTTCTCCATTCCCTCAGGCAACAATCAAGTTAGGTTGCAATTAAAAGAAATTCTAAAGGCTTTTAATTCAATCCATTACCATTCAGGCACCTGCTAGGGCTTTAGAGTCCAATTACCTGAGTTCGAACTCAGCTATATCACCTTCTTGCAATGACACTTTTGGGTAAATTATTTAATGTTTCTGTGTCTTAGTCTCCTCTTCTATTCAACGAACATAGAAAATAATGCATTCCATGGGCCATGCATATATGAGTGTGATTAAATAATATAAATGAAGTGTAGAACTATTCAGCTAAGGTTTTTTTATTATTGTTGTCATCAATTCAAGTAAAAATATGCTAAATTGCCTATAATTTCCTTTTCTCATGTTTTATTGCAAACATTTCATTTTTTCTTATGGGTATAAGAACTCATAAAAAGATTGGCAAACAATTTCTAACTTCATGTTAAACTTGAATCTCACCTTTGGAATAGTTTTCCAACAGAACGTTCTTTACTAATGGGAATGTTCTAGATCTCTAGTACCCATTATATTGGCATATGGCTACTGAGCACTTCAACTGTGCTGAGTGTGACTGGAGACTAATTTTTCAACTTTATTTCATTTTATTCAATTTATAGACACATGTGACTTGTGACTTGTGACTATCATATTAGATAGTACACTCATAATAAAGAAAATAAAGCCACTTTTTGAAAGTTAAAAGAGTCCAATATTTGACCACTTCACTAGATTTCCTCTAACTAATATCATCCCCAGGTCTTTAACTCTCC